CCGTAAATATACACACATAAGCGATGATTCGAAGTGCTACAATTTAATCAATTAGTAGGAAACCTGTTAGCTGCTCGTGGAAACAAAGATGATTTCAATGAATGGGGCAGTCGTATTACACAGTTATCAGATGAGGAACGACCCGTCTGGATTAGTGGACATGGAACTAAGTCTATTGATTCTTACTCTTTAAATACTTCGTGAGTTTTAGATGAGAAACTAATCTGAACGATGTGGCTTACTAACCGGGACTAATTCAAACGAAGAGGATGAAATTTATTAAAAAAGTAGAGGTGCCAATGCTATCAGCCCGATGCAATGTGGGATCCGTTATTTCCTCCAAAAAACAACTACTGGTCAGTGCAAAATTGAATAAATATGAAACTTATGTGATGAGAAAAGGTGCAATTGCAGAAAGAAAGCGGACGCACGTCCGGTATGTGTGTGTGAAAAGCCGATCCGCAGTGAAACCAATAAGCAGCAAAGTAACAAGTACATATATTCGTGTTTGGAATAACGATCAGTGGAGATGACCGCGATAGGGAAAACGTACCTCTCAGCACGGACATTCTCTTCGTACATCGCTGATTCCTCGTCACCTTGGAAACCGGCATGATCTTTCGCTTTTTGTTTCTTAGTGATGATATCCACGTAACCAGCAATCAATTGAGAAATTTGTTCTCCTTCAGATGTTTGTGCAGTGTAACAATCGTCTGGAGAGTATTCGCCGAAATCCTGACAACCCCAATAGGGAGGAGGAGAGAGATAGAAAATGCCTGGGAGGTTACAGCGATATGGATCAGACGGGTTGTTTAATAAATGACACTGCGATGAACAATGGAAGAGGTTACGATAACTGGCAACCCGAATTCCGAGTCCTCAAGGGGACAGGTAGACAGGACATCGAGCCAGGCTGCAAAGCAACTCAATTTCAGTCTTTACTACCATTAACCATGCACTTTCCTGTTTCAGTTTTGGTTGCTCTCTTTCGATAAAGGGGTAGAAAGAAAGTTGGAACAGCAAGAGCAGTGCGAAGGTGAAGACAGAGAATTCATATAAGCTAAGGTTGAAAGGAAAATGGGTAGCTGCATGAACGCCACTTGTTACGATATGCAGCTGGGTACACGCAATTCAACATGACTCAACAGCTTGTGAAGAGCGCTGTAACTAACGGACGACGAAATAAACTGATAGGAGGCGAGCATAACCTCTTCACGCCCACCAGAGCCCCCCCCCCCCCCCNCCCACCCTCCCCACAATGCCCGCCCGCAACGGAACAGTTCTGCGCTGAAGTTTGGAGATGGCTAAAGTGTACACCAAGAAGTTTTTCGCTACACTAAAAGGTAGACATGTTGGTGCATTCCGTCTACAAGATGGGGACAGTAAATTATGGGCATTACTAATCATCGAAGCATTGCAAAAATTATCTATCAAGCATGGCTAGGTGGTACGGAATGGAAGCATCCTTCTGCTTAGAGGTTTCTGTTGTCGGGGGAGATGAACTATTAACTGGATTAAGATAAATGAACAGATAACATTGTCAGGATATCGGTCGATCAAAATGGATTGCAATTACTCTTGACGACGAAGACCCGGTGAGGGAGGGATTTTGGATAATTCAGATTCCATTTGGCTTCTTCGGTTCACGGAACAGGTTTCGGTTGCAAGAAAGATTCCAAATAAAATTCCCGTCTCGCAAACAACCTAAGCGTCGCAGATAAAAAAATGCAAGACACTACTGCATCCAGACAGCCTGTTTGCAAAATTTTGTTCCCTGTAGTGTAGAGGCTTAAAATAGCCCTAAAAAAGACCAAATATCGGTACCCGTCAGGCTCTTGATACCTGCAACAGAATGAACACGTGGCGAAGACGTAGGCTCGGATGGGCTTTGGTACAATCAGGAAAAAATTGACGCACTATGGTTTGGCCGATGAAACTTATTGATTGAAAGCAAATAGACGATGGAGAACAATGAAGTGGTGGGGAAGTGGTAGGGAGAGCGAGCGAGACAGAAAAGAAACACGCAATTACGATAATCATACCTTCAAAAGCAGCTGGGGAATAAAACAACTCTCCCAGGCACGACGGGGTTTTATTGCCTCAACTAACCACACTCAAGATAGACATAGTTAGGAGGATGGTAAATGATACAAATGAGATGCTTCCAATGCAATTAGTGAGCAGATAGTTCTACCAAACTGTGGATCAATTACAGCGTCAAATAAATTCAAAAAAAAGAAACAGAATAAGGAGTGTTCCATATCGATCTGGCGGTCGACATTGAAATAGGAATTGTTTGAACTCGAGCCGAGCTGAGTGAACAGGGTGAAAGCAGTACAAAGCTCTCAATTCCAAAGTCGTGACAGGATCATCGCCCGATTGTCGATAACCGACCACATGGCAACTCATCAAACAGCACAACAGACAATAGTGCGTAATCCGTTTTTGAACTCGCAGTCGTGCAAAACTTTGAGCACAGAGGTTCGCTGCCGCTTGATCAACCAAATCGTAGATAACAGTAGTCAAGTAAGCAAGGTAACTAGGACATCGACCCGTGGGTTGTATGTTCAAATCCCATGATCGCAGTTGCTCAGTTATACCATTGCTACATTTTCACTAGTGCATCATTGTACATTCATTACATAAAACCAAGTGTAGAAATATTTTTTACCGACAGCATTATTAATATGAGATAACACTGCTGTTCATGTTAAAGACCAGACGCATATGAAGCACGTACAGAACCGTAACCAGTTGATCTAATTAGATAGCTAATTATAGCAACGTTCTCTAGGAGTGTGTTTCGGAAAAAACCCGCATGACGACAGGAATACGCTAAAAGCCTTTTGTACACCGTATTATGACATCTCCGGCGGGGGGGGGGGGGGGGNGGGGGGGGGACGGGATGGGCATGTGAGCTTACCTACTCCTGTCGATTACAACACGAAATGTGTATCGTCGGGCTTGTGAAACCTACGACCAGTTGAGTACGAATAATCGGGAAATTCGTACCGCTGGAGAAATATGGCGAGAAGCCGAGTAAACGATCAGTTTAGGCTATCAGTAGAGGAGTCGGAAACCAATTACAAATTTAGCCGTACGGTATCTTTCTTTCGGACTGGGGACGTGGTCATAAAAAAACTATGACCACAGGTCCAGGCGGATTGATTGCCCGAACAGCGGAGGAATCCGTAGTTCGATTTCGGTTCAAGGAACAAAATTCAAGCTCAAAAACATGGGTATGAATGAGGTTGTTCGAAATTGGGTGGAAGAACGCTTCTCACGTAGAAACAGCTTCGTTCGTTTGTTACCAACTGTTTCAGTATCCCGGGGTTAGGATCAATTTTGTTGCAATAATCAGAAAGATGGTGCGAATCGGTGAACTAATTTACAAATGAGTGTGCGCTTGACCCAAGAGCCCAATCTCCATAAATAACGAGTAGAGTACCACTGGAACATAATCTTGCTAGGGTGATTAGGCTATTGCCGTCTCATTGTCTGATGAAGGCGATAGCTCCGGAGCTCGATATCAACATAGCAGAGTGATAAATCAGACTGGGGTATACATGACCCCATCATACATGCACAATAAAAATTCAGTGACCTTTACAGCCAATCGAGTCATTCATTCAGACAGGGACGCTCGCGCGCGCACACACACACACACACACACACACAGTCAGTCAGTCAGTCTGCTTGTTGTCGGTCCACAGAAGGTTCGGGTCATTACATCCAACCCCAACCCCAACAGCAGACAACACGTCACATGAGCCAACCACCACACCCTCTATCCCTCAGTCGACCGAATCGGAGTCCGCTTTCGGGACTTAGTTGCCGTGACTGAGTCAGCTATGTCTTTGTGAATGTGTGGGGGTGGGTGGGGCGGGGGTGTACGGTACAAGCACACGATGAGGCAAAGAATAAAACATCAGAGAGTCATGACGCTTGTTTACCATAGTGAACGCATGTAACGAGGCGGCCCAACGAGAGATGGATGTGAGAGGCCATATTTTCAGCACTTCCTTGGTCTTCTCGTCCAATCGGATCACGCTGTCTTTGGTCACGCCCAACAGACGGGGAATTAATTTGTTCTTCCCCTTGATACGTTCCTGCACACAGTAGAACAAAATCAAGCGGAAAATGGGCAAAGGGGAGGAGAAGAAGGGAAAAGAGAGATTACCATATGGTGGCGATAGAGGTCCAAAATTGTCAAGGTGCAAACAGCACGCAGTGGATAACGGCAAACGTACGTATGAAATCTACAATTCAATGGCCTCGAAAGCGGCTGTAGACTACATTTCTTTGCCTGTCAGTTATCAACAGAAAAAGAGGTCATCCGCTGAAATGAGAAAACTCGGTCAGTCGGTCTTACGAAGAGAAGAAGTGAATCCACATAGACACAGAAACACACTGTCGAGACTAAGTTGAAAAACAAAACTTTTGTCTGATGCATTGACGGATTGAGATACGGTCATCACGATAAGATCTCTGATCGGGGAATTCGGACCTGGTTCTGGTATATCGATTGGGTTAGGCGGTGGTAAATACCTGGGCAGAAAATTATCTGCATTAGAACGAAAGACAAAATGTTGTCAGCTATCAGTTACCTAAAATTTCAGTTACAGACTATACAGCGAAAATGCACCAAAGATGCCAATGATTGATTTTTGATTGAATTAATAAATACCCACAAGTGGCGTGTCTATTATTAGTAATACGAGGGGG